TATTGATTACTATTACTGATAAATAAATTGTTAATTGTTCTCGTAATCTTTTATTTCTCTAAGTCAGTTAGCACATAGAGTCATTATTTAAAGTGACTCAATCACGACAAATAGGCTCGTGACAATATTAAAGTTAAAGCCTCAAAAATGTGGTCTAATAATATGCATTGGTGATCGTTACAATTTTGAAGAAAACTTAAAACAAATAGAAAGATATAGAAGGTCGAAAAATTGTCATTTTGAAACATATGAAATACGAGACGAACTTGATCTACCTGATTAGAAGAAATTTATAACAAATCCTTGGAATAAAAAGAACATCTTGGCATATTTAGCACAAAAACTAATGGAAGAACATTATGTTATACCTGATCAAATTGAAATTATATTGGCAGGAATGTCAGAAGATAATCAAACAACAATAAAATGCACAAAAATGGAGTCGACAGTGGTAGATGTTACAGTTTACTGGTCAAGAAGAAGCTGATACAAGAATATTTGCAATTATTAATTTTTTTAAAGACACGTTTAATGTATTTGTTATTTACTCGTTGGACACAGATGTTTTTATTTTATCAATGTTTTTCTCGGTTGCCTTAGATGTCGAAATTTGGATGGAAAGAGAAAATAAATTTATCCCATTTTTCTCAATCATTAAAGCACTAGCAAACTTGAAGCACTTAGATGTTAAAATATTAGCAGACAATTTGTTATCAATATATTGTTTATCTGGATGTGATTCTTTTAGCTTTCCGTTTAAAAAAGAGCCTTAAAAATAGTATTGTCTTAAAAAACCAAATGAGATGAATATTTTATCTTTTGCAACCAAAAGTATTACATGTGATTCATATGAAAAAATATCCGACGAGTTACTATCATCATGTAGGCTATTCTTTAAGCATATGTATGACCGAAAAGACTTTAGAGGAAATATGGATGAATTAAGAGCTCATATATTTCCAACTTACAAAACAGACATAAGGTAAAGATTAAGTTTAAATAAGCTTAACATTTTTTACAAACTGTACTTAGTAATAAAATTCCTAAAACGATTTTTGCTCACTATAGAACTCTATTATTACTTTTTAAAATATATCATTGAAGTTTATACTATTATACTGGTAAATAAAGTTCTATTAATTTTTTTTAGGGATTTGCCGCTAACTGAAGATTCTTTTATTTTTCATGTGAGAACGGCATTTTTACAATGTGCAATTTACAAAACGGTATATACGCTAAAGCCAGATCTGCCTGAAATTCTAACCAAACTTTTAACAAAAACATCAATAAATTTGACATATACGTTTTTACTGTTTTAAGTTTATTTCTAAATATTGTTTACAGGTCATAAAAAATAGTTGAAAGGTATGTAATTGGTAACTAAACGATTGTATATTTGATGCATGTTATCTACTTCCTTTAGGAATATATCTAGGGGAGAGGGGGGTAAAATGATCCCCGCGGGTTGAAATGATCCCTGTAATTGAAAGTTCACCTTTCATGCAAAATAAACGTAATATTGGCAACATTGTACTAGACGGAGCGGTTTTTAGGAGACAAACTAAATTTATAATTAACAAAACTTAATACATGTAACTTTGGGGTAAAACGATTCTCCAGTAGGGGGGCAAAATGATCCTTTCATTTTACCCCTGCATAAATGTTTTAAATCATTATTTTGAATTAATTAATTAATTAATTAATTTTAAATTCATTTTACGTCTCTCTTTCAGAATGCCATGAACATATAAGTGAATAACCAACAAACAAAATTGGGATGCTAAGCATATGAAAAATGCCATAGAAGAAGTTAAGCGAGAAATGCTTGTGAAAACCGCTGCGCGAATCTTCAAGGTGCCAAGACTGTCGCTCAAGCTGCGTGTAATGGACAAAAATAAGGTAGCGAAGCTAGAGAAGAAGTCACTTGGTAGCTGCCACCCTGTATTTTCGCCAGAACAAGAGCAAGAACTAGTAAAGCATATCCTAGATTTAGAAAGTAGGATGTATGGACTGACCTTGCGTGATTTGCGACGATTAGCGTATCAGCTTATTGAAAAAAAGAAACTTCCCCACAAGTTTTCCTATGTCAAAAAGGCTGCTGGTAAAGATTGGTTGAACGGTTTTAGAAGAAGACATCCAGAGATTTCCTTGAGATGTCCTGAAGCGACCTCAGCTCCTAGAGCGAGAACCTTTAACAAATCAGTTGTGACAAAGTTCTATAATCTGTTGAGAGAGATTTATGCAAAAAATAATTATGCCCCTCGCCGAATTTTTAACGTAGACGAGACTTCGATTTTTACTGTGCCCGGGCGAAATTCAAGAATATTAGCAAAAAATGTTCCAAACAAGTTGCAAGCGAACATCAGCGGAGCGCGGATTTTCGACAACAGCGGTAGTTTGTGTATAAGCTGCAGGAATTTTTGTCTCCCCAATGCTTATTTTCAGCAGGAAGCGAATGAAGGCCGAACTAACAGACGGAGCTCCTCCAGGTACCATTTTTGCTTGTAATGAAAGTGGTTGGATGCGTACAGAAGTTTTTAAGCAGTGGTTTGCTCATTTCATATCTTTTGTAAAGCCAAGTATTTATGAGCCCGCATTACTTATATTAGATGAACATTTATCGCACACAACAAATCTCGATGTTATTTTAAGTGCCAGAGAAAACTTTGTAACCATCTTGTGTTTACCTCCCCACTGCACGAACAAGCTGCAGCCGTTGGACGTTGCTGTTATGGGTCCACTTAGCGGTTATTTAGACCAAGCATTAGAAAAATGGTTGAACCATCATCCTGATAGAACCGTGACAGTGTTTCAAATTAGTCAAATATTTTGCGGGGGCCACTTAAAGGCTTGTATACCAACAAATGGAATAAACAGGTTCCGCAAAACTGGCTTATTTCCATTTGACCCAGAGGTTTTTTCAGATATCGAATTCTTAGCAGCTGAAGTAACCGACCAATTAACTAGTGACCTTGATGAAGCTGAGGATATGGCTCAAGGATCTAGTTCATATAAAGTAGCTGATTTATCGACAGACATAATCAACAAAGCAGATAATTGTTCTAGCGAAACAAACGATCTGTTCAAGAATCCTGAGTCTGGGCCCAGCTCAAAACGAGATGAACAAATAAATTCATCTTTTATAGTTACACCACAAGAATGTCAACCTTTTCCTAAAATTCAAGGCAAGAGAAACGCAACAAAAAGAAAATCTTGTGGAAGTGCAGTTTTAACCAGTACGCCATACAAAACTGCTCTTGAAGAGGACATCAACAAGAAAGAAGCAAAAGAAAAGACAAAACGAAAAATGGAAATCATAAGAAGACACTCAAACAGAAGAAACCAGAACAACAAAAGAATATAAAAAACACTCTTTCCGGCTCTTCGGATTCAGAAGACAACCAGAGAAATGCATCCTGTATCTACTGCTGCGAGGAATATTTTACTTCAATTGATGGATGGATTCAATGCAGAAAGTGTTTTGAATGGGCTCATGAATTGTGTGCGGGGGTAGAAGAAGACGAAGATGAATTCATCTGTGAACATTGTTCCGATGTTTCTTTTGCGTTAGTCAGAGTTCAGAGAAATATTAGGTTTTAAAGACATTTTACCCCCCTCTCCCCTATAAAAGTGAAAAAACGATATAATTTAGGTAAACAAAACGAACAAAACGCACTCAAAAAATCTACTGTCACTTTAATTGTCAGTGGAACCATAATTACATCATCACTGAACTAGCGCATTGTATAGAACCAATATTAATGTCCAAAAATTACTCCATTTTGCAAATGTAAATTATTTAACTGTAATAATAAGTGCAAATGCCTAAAAGCAAATGTAAGATGGAATATAAGTTGCCAGTGTGAGAGAAAATGCATTGAAAAATAAATATTTTAATTAGATAATAATAATATTGTGTTTCATGCTTATAAAAAAATTATTATTATTATTCCTATCATTTCCCAATCCTTATAATTCTCCCTATACTCCCTATAGTATCATAATAATATTGTAATGTGCGTCATCTTTGTTGCACGTATGAAGAAGCTGTGATATTTATTCTCTATGACCCACTGATCGCTTTATTAGCTGCATCGCATCTTAACAGCAGCAATGCCATGAGATGAAATGCGCCGATTCAATTTCCTTTGGTTTTAAAAAAGTGTACAGCCCAAACTAAACATCGTATGAAAAAAAAAAAATTAGTAAAAAAGTATCCTTGCTCTATTGACAACATTTTTCTCGCTTATACTAGTTATCTATCTTTAAAGATAAAAACGTTTTCTCGACTCACCATTTTATGCTGCCAAATGACGATATTTTGTGTTATCTAGCAAAAAAAAAATTACGTAGCTTTTATGTGACGTTCTACATTTTGTTCTGTATGAAACTTTGTCAGGGAAGTACTAAAAAATATCATATCCAAAATTAATTTATAAAGATCGGATATCAATTAACAAAGTTATGCTCTAGTTTGCAAAAATATTTTTTTAATGTAAATTTTCAGTTTTTTCAAAAATGTCATGTTTTGACACATTTCGCAATTTCGGATCAAAGGGCGAACAAAAAATTCGAATCCAGCAGGTTCGTTTACATATGATTTCATGTTTATTAGCTGGATGTTCGTGACTTGTATAGAGCATCTTTAAAACGCTTTCTACGAGGCGTCAGATTCCCAATTAAACACAAACCAACAAATTTTTAAAAACCTCTACATCCCCCTTTCATAATGTGTAAATGAACCATATCTGAGCAGCCAAGACCATAAAGTACAGTGTAAGCAAAACTACAAAACAATTATTTAAAAAATACGAGCAATTCGCTCATAGTGCAGGTTATAGAGGGTTAACTGATATCCAAACACAAGCAGCTACGCCACTGATATCAAATCTGTTATTTCTGAGAACTTACTTGCTCTCTGTCGCCTGTAAGTGAGACATCCATTTATAATAGGTACTTGAAGAAGTACTCTAGACAACCATAAAAATAACATTATACTACCTGTTTAAATCCTTAATACCTGTAATTAAGGTTGCAGAATCCTTTAACTTATTCAAAGCTTGACAGTGTTACAAGAAAGTTTATAGTATTTTGAAGTGTTTTTATTCTGTGGTTCATGATGATAGGAAATAAGTGGTATTTGGTACTGTTTTTTATTATTTTTTCTTTGGTAAGTACATTCGAAACGTATATTTATTTTATATTTTTTTTTAACCTTTTGCATATCTTGAAATTAATTTCCCAAATCGAAAATTCCACTCTCAAAAGTGTTTTCAAGTCAAAAAATAACGCGTTTATTTACGTTTGCCAAAATTTTAAATATCACACCTAAATGAAAAATCTTAATATTGATGCTTTTTAGGTATTGTGTACGAGTGCGAAACCCCTATTGGTTGAAAAAATGATGGCCAGCAACGAAACTCTTAAAAGTATGTATTTATTTTTGTTATTACACAGGGTGTTTCAAAGAGAAAGGGATATACGTTAATTGTGTGCTTGCAAATAACCCATATTTAATGGGACTTTCGCCCTTTATATAGTACTTCTAGTCGATAATTATTGTAAGTAGAATACACCTTTTGTATTTTTTATTAAAATACTGTTGACAAGAAAGTTTCGCTGTTCGCAAACTTGGTAATTAATATTTTTAACAGGCATGTGCCATATGCCTATCAAGACTACTAAAGGAAACGAGCGCGGGCAGCCCAAGTGGTGCAGTGCACACTCAATATTTGTTACTATTTAATAAATTAAATTTAAATTAATGAGATTATTCATAAAATCTATTTTAAAATAATTTCCGTGAAATTTAGAAAAGATACTTGCATTTCTTGGCAGTTCTGTAGCTCTGCATCACTTATATACCAGCCGCCACTGCACAAAAATTTACAGGGTGTTTAGGTTAAAAATTTAAATCATTTTTTTAATGTTGCTCTAAATGGTGTAACATTAATTTATGAAAATTTATATGGGATGCAATGTACAATAAATACGAAGTAGCCGCATTTATTTATTTTCATTTTTTTATGGGTTTTCAGAGGGAGTCAACATTTCTTTGACCCCCTCTAACTAAAAACGAAATGTCACTGAAATTAGACATCAATTTTAAAACTTATTTCTACACCTGCATGGATATTAGCGAATTTATGGACATACTACAAATCGAAAAATTATGGCATTGGGTTCAACTGAACGAATATATTTTATATCCATTCTAGGTAGTGAGAACACTGCAAAAAAGTGAAATCCACAAATCACAGTTCATATTTTGGTCACCTGTCTATTATTATTTTTAAAATTTTATATAAGTGACAATTCTGTCAAACTAATTGTCAGTATATTTTTCAGTTATTGAAATTAAATATACGTAAAAATGAGTTATTCTTCTGTAAAATCGATAAATAATAGCATTTTCATTTTGTCATTATTTAGAAATACATTTTAATCAAACTATATGAAACTTATTTAATTACGAAATTAAAATCGTAACTATGGCCGTGACGGTAAGAACGGCGTCTATCTTCCACGCGAAAGGCCCAATTAAAGGACTAATTAAATTAAATTATTTTTTTTTATATATTTATTTAATTAATTTTATAAATTAGTAAAATTCATAAATTATTTGAATATTTTTAAATTAATTATTTTGTTTTAATAGTCTAAAATATTTTTTAAATATGTATATTTTCGTTAGTGGGTCATAAAAATAATATACTCTACAACTCGAGTGGATTGTCCATATTATTATCCACTCTTGTTATACAAACTACTATTTTCTAACTTAGTATTTATCTGTGATAATCTTAATTTAGAAAATACAACCATCTTCTTAAATGTCAGTTTTAAAATACAAATATGAATGCGGCTACTGCTTATTTATTATACTTTGTAAACTAATATCAGATATAAATTTTTATAAATTAATGTTAAACCGTTTTAGAACAACGTTAAAAAATTTTTTAAATTTTTAACTGTATCACCCTGTAACTTTTTTGTTTATACTTTTATATAAAGATAAGTAAGGTTCAATAGATAGATTTTCAAACACCGAAAATACTTTTTTAAAAATTTTATTATTTATTATATAAAATACAAAGCTTGTTTATTGCCCAAATGCTAAGCAAAGAATGAATCTAGATACAATATAAAAGGTAAAGTTAATAATAATGCAACAAAGAACTGCTATCTTATCTATGCAATTATGCATAAAATATGTGGACGTCGGTAAATTGGCCCCATGTAACTCCTCCATCCTTAAGCTGAAAAAATACAGGAAGTATTTTTGACATTGGAAAGTGATATATTTTCTTCGGTACTTTCTTTTTCTTTCTTCATTCGGTATTTTCTAAAACGTTTTCTAAATACAAGATATGCAATAGTTGTAATACAGATGATTGCCAAAATTGGTACCATTACTGACATCGAAGTTTTATACAGGGTGTCCTTTTCTTCTATGATGGGTTTAAGTTCATCTGTTAATTTATTAATTTCGTATAGATCGTCGAAGTTAATTTTGGTAATATTTGAGACTTGGTAACTCTTTTGAATTTTTAATAGTTTTGTTTCAAATTTTGGGAGTATCAGTGGTTTTCCTTTTCGGATTAATTGATTATTTGTAAATTTCAATTGTTTTATTTCAATTTGACAGCCTACAGGAATTCTAATTAAAGTGGGTGTTTTGATTTCTAAAAACTTGTCTGTTTTGCATTTTGACAGTATTTTTTCTGATTCCACAGGAATTATTAATACGTCGTTATTAGTTATTTGTTCAATAATTGGTTCTCGAATATTGATTTCCATAGCGTGACATCCCTTGGGTAATTGGCCATCAAGAAGTTGAAGTGTGCAGTTGTCTCGGGATATAAAATCTTGTGTGCAATAGAATTCATTTTCTAATTTTGGGCATTCTTCTCTGTGCATCTGGGATTCTTTTTCGGCTCGTGCCAAGTATGGGTATACAGGGGTATACATTATATTGTTCTGGGTAATTGGATATAAATGATAAAATTCTAATGAAATAGGTTTAAGGATAGGAATGTGGATAGCGAAAATTAATTTTGATTTGGAAAATGTGACTTGTGTTCCAAAAAATAGATAGTAATTCAAAATGTTATTGAATTTTGGGATTTCGTTAACGTCATAAATTTTACTTAAATAATTTATCATTTCAGTAATCTCTTGACTAGGTATTATTGAACTATGAAGCGAGTTCTGTTTCGAGAATAAAATAGCATTCTCGATATTATCTATAAAAGATATCAAATTTTGACAATCGAGATTTATCTGACTGATAGTACCTTGGAAAATAATGTAGTTACTTACATCATTGATTTGATTTTGAATTGCTCCTTGAAATCTTTCTAAATTGTAAAATAGCTTTTCTTGATTTTTTGCTAAAATTGTTAATGTTTGATTGTAATGTTTAATTAACTTTTTGTATAATGAAGTTTGTAGATTTTGTTCGTTAATTATATTTTTCTGGTTTTGTTGTAAAGTTTTAATAGCGTTATCATATCTATATTCGTCGTCTGAATCCAAATTACCAAAAAGCCATTTATTAAGTTTACCAATTCCATCAAATAAACTTCTTTTTGAGCGTATATGTGGATTCAAATTTTGAAATTTTCTTTCTAATAATTTATATAAAAATTCTGTTCTTTCTAACATGTTTTCGCTTAATCCGTGATAAGAAAGTGGGTTTGAAGCATTAGTTTTTTCAACAGTTTCCCTTACTATAGAAATATGATATTTTAAAGTGTTTATTTGTCTAACTAGTTCTCCTAAATCTAAGTAGTGAATAAAAGTATGCTTTGTATATATTAATCTACAACTACCTAACTGTATTGGGAGAAGAAGGTTTTCCAGAGGTGTAATACCAATGTCTTCTTGTCCGCTTTTTACTTTAACTACTAGAAGTGCCAGGAATAGCGGGATCGTCAATGATTTCATGGTCCTGTTCTTCCTGCAAAACGTTACTTAAATTAACTCTAGGTTTTCTAATGATACTTTTATGATATGTGCCTTTATTTGTATCTAACAAGATACCATTATCATTTATTATTTCTGTCTTTTTAAATTTTGGTAGCTTTTTGTCACGAAATTTAGTTTGGACATAAGCTGTTTCCTGATTAGAATAGTCTGGGGGATCTGAACGAGTTTCGTTGGCTTTAGCAATAAATTTTTCTTTAACTTTTTCATTTCTTTCTTTAATAGTATTGTATAATTGTTTACTTGCTTGTTTATGATTTTGGACATAATAAGATAAGATTAAATGATCGTCTAAATCGAACGGATCTGGATTATTAATGTGTCCTTTGATAATTTCGAACGGTGTAAACTTTGTGGCTGTATGAATTGAATTATTATAACTAAGAACTGAATGTTTCATTAATTGATTAGGGGTTAATTCTTTATTTTGTTCTCTCAAACATCTAAAATATTCTATTAGTGTTGAATGAAATCTTTCAACGGGAGAATTGGAATTGCTATTTTTAGCTGTGGTATAATGTAGTTCGATTCTATGTAATTTGCAAAAATCTTCAAGATCTTTATTTTTAAATTCCGATCCACAATCGGCTGTTATTTTATAGGGTAGTCCATGATGACTTACAAAATTTAAAAGATTGTCTACTATTGATATACCGCTAATACTATCAATTGGGTATGCTTGTCCATACCTGGAAAATGAATCAATTATTGTAAGAAAAGGTGAGTTTGAAATTCGGAAAACATCAATGTGAATGTGGTCAAACGGTTTAGAAGCAGTGGGGGTTAAATTGAACTTTATAATAGGCGGGTTTCGATCATATTTGTTTCTAAGACAAATTTCACAATTATTAATGTATTTCTCAACGTCATCTAACATTTTTGGCCAATAGTACCTCATACTTAAGGAAGATCGAACTTCGTTAATTCCACGATGTCCTTTTTTGAAATTGTGATAGTATTCTAGTTTTTCTTTTTGTTCATCAGTGGTTAATACATCTGTTAATAATGTAGTACAATGTACGATTTTAAATGCTGAATTTCTAAAGTACTTTTGTAGTGTCGTTACGAAAAGTTCTGGTAAAAATTGATTTTTAAAATATATTGCATATGTTCTTTTGGGGTCAAGAAAGTCTTTTACAAATTTTAAAATGCTTTCTTCTAATCTTCTTTGGGGAAGAGTAACGTTTAATCTATTATTTTCAAATATTTTTTCTTGTTTACATTTTGTTTCATTTATTTCGCCACAAGTTAAGAGGATTTGGTTTTTATATTGATTTATAGGTCGTTCTGAAATAGGAATAGATAATATCGGATTTTCTACCGAAGTATGTACAGTTTCTATATCGATTTCTGGATTATTTTTATTTTGAGGAGGTCTTATTTGTATATTTTGTAAAATATTGATTTTAGGTTTTTCGTTTAAAATACTAGAAATTTCGTT